CCCTACCCCGAAGGTCCCCCCTTCAGTTACCCCAGTCCTTATGCACCCCCGTTACTCCTCCCCTCTGCCCTTCACCCTCACAGCTGGCCACGCCTGCGTGTAATGCCCCACCCCCACAGGAAGTCAGCCGTGGTCTCATTCTGACTGAGGCCCAGCACATCTGGGTGATGTGATGCTCTGTCTGCTGGGGTCAGATGTAGCCTCTCGTGGTCAGATGACCTCAGACTGAGTCACCCACTTAACATGAAAAACTCCTTCTTTGGAGAGGGGCGGGGGGGGCGCTCCTGGCTCCTCAGTCAGCCCCTGGCACTCTGGCCCACGGAGGACCTGCTTTGTCCCTGTCCTCGAGTGCCATTTCTGAGGTGGGACTAGGGAGGTGCTGGAGACAGGTCTGGGGTGAGGCGGGGCTGGGCTGGGCATCCTCTGGGCTCCCGCCCCAGGATTTTCCCCTGCCAGGTCCCCAGCCTGCCTGCCCAGCTCCATAACCTTTGCTTGGAGTGAAGGCTTTGTTTCCTTCTCCTCTGATAAGCGCCAAATTACTCTATTCTTAGCAGAGTGGTGTTTTCTGATTTCTTTGCATTCAAATGGGCCAGTTTCAGGCTTATGATGTCTCAGTGTCTCTCAGCCTCTCGTGGGACCTCAGTGAGTGAGCCACTGTGCCTCCCCTGGTGCTTCAGTCGCACAGACACATAGCCTGTGTCACTAAAGAAGTGCCATTCCATTTGTATTAGGCTCCGAGTGCTGCTGTAGCAAATTACCCCAAACTCATTGGCCGCACACAACAGCCATTATTCTCTTACAGTTCTGGAGGTCGGAAGTCCTGCAGTCAGGGTGTCTCAGGGATGCTCCTTCCGGCGGCTCCAGGGAGAACCTGCCTCCTTGCCTCGCCAGCGTCCAGCGGCGCCCACATCCCTTGGCTGGCAGCCCCTTCCTCCACCTTGACAGCGGGCCGCTCCAAGCTCTGCCTCATCTGTCACCCCATTTCCTCCCGGGTCCCTATGACAGGGACCTGCCCATGCTGTCCAGGAGGAGCTGCCCACCTCAGGGCCCTTGGCCACACCTGCAAGCTCCCTTCTGCCATGTAAGGTAACATCATGGCTTCTGGGGCGTAGGGCATGGAGACCTTTGGGGGCCATTGTTTGACCACCGCAGCCATTCATGACATAGAGCAAAGGTTCCCACGTCCCTCCTTCCCTAACTCAGTTCAACCACTTCCAGAGTTTGGAGTCTGCCCCTAGCGACATCCCATACTTCCTAGAACTAAACTCTGCAAGAGTTAAGACGTTGGCGGTTTCAAGAAGGACAAAATCCAGCTCAGATCGGCTTATGCTTGTTATACAAAAACCTTAGAGGCCGAAAGCTTTTCTGAAGGAGGGGGTTATGGAGCCATGTGCTAGCCGGAAAAAGGTCTAAACCACCGGCACCCAGGCGGCTGGGGAACGCAGACGCGTCATCACGGGCTCTTCGATACAGTGAGTTTGGGGCACAAAGGTGCTGGTTGTTTTAAAGGAATTTATATTGGCTCTAGACAAAGGGTGGGAGGAGGAGAGGTTCCGGTCCTGGGACAGGCCCCTGTTCCTACGGAAGAAGCGGGTTGCCTGTGGGCCACAGTTGCGGAAGCTCACGCGTGAGCAAGTGCGGGGGGCCCCTGGAGACTCGCTGTTCTCTCCAGATGATCGGGGAAGCAGCCACCTGGAACTTAACTTGGAGTTCAAGGCGCACTCAGGAACGTAGGCATCCTTTTTGGCTTTGCCCTGCAGCTGCTAACTGACCTGTCTCTCCCTCCCACCTTCCGCCTGCTGCAGCTAATTTAGGGCATCTCACAATTGTCTCCTTGTCACACTCTCTAAAGGGAGTTTCTGAGTTTATGTAGCTGAACAAGCCCAGAGGTGCCCATGAGTTTGGAGAAGGGTGATTCAACTGCTGGACAATGACACCTTGAGGTCACAAGATGCCAGCAAGGGATGGGTGGCACAGACCCTGGGGAGAACCCCCAGCATCCACCACATCACCAAAGGCAGCAGCCATGCTGAGAAAAACAGATTTGCCGACCTAAACTCATTTGTCAATTTTTTTAATTGGACGAAATATACGTACCATATCTGACGCGGGATTACTATGTGGAAATCGTACAACTAAGGAAGTAAAAGGCTCTGACAGGAAACAGTTTGCTTTTTAAAATTAGGTATATATTTTAAATGTTTGAGTAAATAGGTCCAAAGACTTATTTAAAGAGGAAATACAAGTGGCAATTGAACAAATAAAATGGGACGTTTTAGTAATTTTAAAAACTAGAAAATAAGGGAAATACCACTTTTATCGATAGGCCGGCGAAGATGAGAAAGGACGATGTTGGCATCGGTGCCGGGAAACGGACGCGCCGTCCGTGAGAGCGCCCCCTGGGGTCACGTTTGGAAGTGCAGTTGACAAAAGCCCTATGAATACACACACGCTTTGACCCTCCAGTTTCTCCCTATGGATTATCCCAAGGAAGGATCTGGACAAGTGAGTGAAGATACACACCCACGGTGCTCTCTGTAACAATACTGAAAACAGTACAAAGCTGGAAAAAAATCTAAACATCTGATGGTAACAACACGGCCGTTAAAAATGATGTCATCGATATATCTTTTGGGGGGGCGGGCGGTCAAAGAAAGTTGTTCACAGGAGGACACTGTTAAGTGGAGATGGCAGGTTATGACATTTGTTGGGAAAAGTTTTACATATAGACCTCGGAAATTTGAGAAGGCCATTGCATCGGTGAAGACATTCCCAGAAGAAAACATAATTCGACTGATTTGAACAATAAAGGGGTTTCGCCGGTTCGGCGTCTGGAAAGTCCAGCTGGGAGACAGGCTTTGCTACAGTTCGGTCCGGGCCGCAGGTCCGTTTGTCCGCAGGTCCGTTTGTCCGCAGGGTCCCCCAGTCCCCTCTGTATGGAGACTTGGTCTTCAGGCTGGCTTTCCTCAGAGTCACGACATGGCTGCCCGCAGCCGCTGGGGCCACAGGCTTCATCGCCCACAGCCCCGGGAGACAGAGCTTTGCTTCCCAGAGCGTCACTCTGACGGGGCCCTCAGGGGGCAGGAGGACGCCCTGCACTGCCCTGTCTAGACCTGGATAACTGGCTCCCGCTAAAGCAGCCACTTCGAAAGGAGGGGAGCCACGCCGCCCCCACAGCGGGACTGGGGATAGCCCCTCCCAACCCCATGACCACTGCAAAGTGGGGCATGGGCGGGGTGGGTGGCCGTGCAACCACGCCTGCCACAGGTGGCACCCAGATGCTAACAGTGCGGGGATAATGGGGAGTTCGTTTGGAAATATTTTGTGTATTAAGAAACTCAGAAATACCTTACAAGGCTCACCTTTCCCATGAGTTACTCCATCAGCTTTCCTGCGATAAAACTCCCTCGTAATTGACTGCAGCCGTGCCGCCCATGAATTCCAGGACAGTTTTACGTTTCCTCATACGGGTCTTTCCCATCCTCGCTGCCTTTGCTCCTGTGTGTTTTATTTAAATGGGACGTGAATGTTTTTGCCTCAGATTCAGCCTCTGCCATGAGATAATCTCAGTTCTGATAGTTGGTCACTTTATTTTTACTCAAATAAAAGGTTTAAATTTTTTTAACGCAAAGAAAAGGCTAAGCTCATGAATCATAGAGGGCCTGGCCTGATAAATCGAAGCACGGGAATTGCCGGTGGACTTCAGGGATGAGCGTGACGTGAGCAGATGTGCGACTCGAAGGGTGCCCCCGAGACCACCTGCCTACTGACTGCGCCCCTTCTCCCGGCGTGCCCTCGTCCCCAGGCACACGTCTCCTGGTGGGTTACTGCTGTGTTCTCCTGAGCCCCTGCCCCGTGGCCAGCGTCGTCCGGCGCAGCAGTGGGTGTCTGAGCCAGGCTGGGTTGGTGAGTCCCTCCCCCGGACAGCTTTGGCAAGAGAGACAGGGCAGCGGGCCCCTTCCACGGGGCAGAAGCAGCAAGATCGGGGCTCAGGAAGCGTGAGGCCATGTTCCTTGCTGTGCAGAGCGTGGAGAGCAGAAGGCAGAAAGACAGAAATCAGTGAGGATGGCCTTCGAGACCCTGGGTCCATTTGTCCCTCCGCCCAGCTCTGCCCCTTACACTGCACAGAGGCCTACACTCCTGCGGTTCTGGGAACAGTGACAGCATGAGGCCAGTCCTGGGCGTCCTGAGAGGGTGACCAGGACATGTCTGACTGACTGTAAACCAGTGGCCATGTGAGTCATCGGGTGTCGGGGAAAAGAGAGTAAGCTTCCCTTTATATATTTATCTCATAGCTAAAGAAGGAAAGAAATTAAATTGTGCTAATATTTAGTGTGTGACAGAGGTACATGCACACAATGCGTAAATAAATATGCTCATATGGGGCTTTGTGTTTGACTCTCTCATTGGTAGGTGCGGACAACAAAGTTGGAAGCCCCTGGTACCAGCCGCTCTTTATGGCCACTCAGTGTCATTGCTAGCAATCAGTAACTGTCACCTAGTTCTTGCTAAAGCCCACGCTGCGTCCTCCACCGCCTGCTCCATGGTCCTGCCGTGCTCCTCAGGCCGGCCTTCCCGCAAACCGA